ATTCTCCTACCTCAACCTCCCAAGTAGTTGGGATTACAGGCACCTGCCACCACACACAGCTTTTTTTTTTTTTTTTTTTTTTTTGGTGGAGACAGGGTTTCACCATGTTGGCCAGGTTGGCCGCAAACTCCTGACCTCAGGTGATCCACCTCAGCCTCCCAAAGTGCTGGGATTACAGGCGTGAGCCACCACACCTGGCCCTCAGCCATCTCTTTCACCTTCTGCTCATGACAGTTTACTAGAATTTTTTTCCCTTGAGACTGAATGTCAAGTCAAAAACAATAAAAAATTGCCAATCATTACTATGACTCCAGAGCTACTTGCTTCTTTAAAAATTCCTGAAGTTATAAAATATAAAGCCAAAGCAATGAATTTCTAATGGTGGAATTGTAGATACAGTGGTCCCCTGGGGATGTTATTTCAGATGGGGTAAGGGGATATTTCTAACCCTATTTTAAGTCATGCCATCCTAGATAGCTATGTGAAAATGATATGGGTGCTTAGCAAAACTATTAACTAGCACCCCTTTGGCAGTTTTATATTAAAAATCCTTTATTAGCTTAAGTATGACCCAGTGATTTTTAAAATTCATTACTTTTTCCTAAAATAGTTTTGAAAATTATGATTTTTGAAAGCCTCCTCTTCAAAACAAAAAGAGCCCATTGTTCTTAACTAGTAATACTAATGACTCCTATAAACTATATGTTAAAACCAATCTTACAGCTAATAGAAGGGTAAATATGATGCCAACTAATGTTTATACTTATACAAGTATCTACAAATATAAAGAAGTAGCTCCTTAATAATTTCTAAAAGGAGACCCATTGATTAATCTACTTGAGTCTCTTAGCAAGTGCTACTGTTTAACAACTCATCTGATGGTAGTAAATTTTCTCCTGAAGCTATCCTTTCTTTGTGACTAGGCAATAAGGTCTGTGGATCTGGGAGACCTACAGTTGTTATTCAATTCCTCTGCTTCCATGTAGTGTGACTTGGACAAATGACAGGCCTTGCTTTTCTCCATTGCTACCAAGATGGAAGTTGTAGCCTTCTCAACTGTTGTGGCAATTAATTGCCAAGTTCTTGGTCAACTGCCACATCTTCAGTCGAATATGGATCTCATTGAGATGCTTTGGAACTGTGTGTCAAATAATTCTAGTCACTCCCACAACATTTATTTCCCCCTTCTCCCTTACTAAAAGAGCCCTGATTTTCTAAAAGATGACTATGTGCCCAGTTGAAACACTATTTACACTCCCTTGCAGCTATGTCTTGTGACCAAGTCGTGATCAGTGAAATGTAAGTGAAGCATTGACAGTGTGCCTTCCTAAATAAAAAGACAAAGCCTAGTAAGGAGGCCTTCTACCTTTCACCATTCACTCTTTCCCTTCTTCCTGCCTGAAACACAGATGTAATGCCAAAAGAAGAAACCATTTTGTAGCCATGAGGATAAAGCCATACATTAAGAAAGACAGATCAAAGGATCTGGGTTCCCAGATAGCATCTTGAAGCTGTTTTATAAACCCTGGGCAGTCTGCTTTCAGACTTCTTTTTACCATGAGAAAAATAAATTCTTGTTTGGTTTAATCACCAAGAATGAATTTTTTTAATATGCAACCAAATGCAAATCCCAACCAATACACTCTGTGGACTCATGAGGTCTTCACCTGGATCTCATTCCCCTTCTCACCAGATCAAGATTCAGGGTCATCTCTGGGCTGTAGGGGAAGAACCTGAAACCATAAAAATTATAGAAGATAACATAAGAAAAACTCTTCTAGACATTAGCTTAGGCAAAGAATTCATGACTAAGACCCCAAAAGCAAATGCAATAAAAACAAAAATAAGTAAATGGGACCTAATTAGAAATCTTCTGCACAGCAAAAGATATAATCAGAAGAGTAAATAGACAACCCACAGAGTGGGAGAAAATCTTCACAATCTGTGCATCTGACAAAGGACTAATATCCAGCATCTACAAGAAACTCGGACAAATCAAGAAGCAAACAAATAAAGTGAGCAAAGAACATGAATAGACAACTCCCAAAAGAACATATACAAACAGCCAACAAACATGAAAAATGCTCAAAATCACTAATTAGAGAAAGGCAAATTAAAAACACAAGATACCACTTTACTCCTGCAAGAATGATCATAATTAAAAAGTGAAAAAACAATAGATATTGGCATGCATGTGGTGAAAAGGGAAAACTTTTACACTGCTGGTGGAAATGTAAACTAGTACAACCACTGTGGAAAACAGTATGGAGATTTTTTTTAAAGAACTAAAAGTAGAACTACCATTTGATCCAGCAATCCCACTACTGGGTATCTACCCAAAGGAAAAGAAGTCATTATATGAAAAAGACACATGCACCTGTTTGTTTATAGTAGCACAATTAACAATTGCAAAGGTAAGGAACCAACCTAAGTACCTATCAACGAAGTGGATTTAAAAAATATGGTATACACCACAGAATACTACTCAGTCATAAAAAGAAATGAAATAATGTCTTTTGCAGCAACTTGGATGGAATTAATGGCCATTATTCTAAGTGAAGTAACTCTGAAATGAAAAACCAAATATCGTATGTTCTCACTTAAAAGTAGGAGCTAAACTATGAGGATACAAAGGCACTAGAATGATACACACTTTGGGAACTTCGGGGGAAAGATTGGGAGGAAGTGAGAGATAAAAGATTACATATTGGGTATAGTGTACACTGCCCAGGTGATGGGTGCACTAAAATATCAGAACTTACCACTAAAGAACTTATTCATGTAACCAAAACTACTTGAACCCTAAAACCTATTGAAATAAAAATTTAAAAACAAAAACAAACAGCAACAACAAAAGATCCTGGTAGGAACAGTATGACATGGTTGTAGAAATAATTTTTTAAATTATGTTAAAATATTTTCTTTTAAGCAGAACTTTGTGCATGATATTCCCCTCCACACCCCATGTAGCCAGAGGCACCTATTGCCTCAGGGAAGAATAGGATTGTTAAACTAGGAAAATAGACAAAGGCAGGGTAAAAATAAAGCCTAATTGGTTACCCAGAGGTCCAATTTGTATAGAAAAAGCAAAATAAATGCACAATTGTTTTCTTTTTCCTAAAATAGTTTTGAAAATTATGAACTGGTTCCCTCTCAACCATCAAGCAATCAATCTGTTCAGTTGTTTTTAAAATATTATCAATTAATAGATATAATCATGTTTGATGTGTTTTAAACAATTGCGATTATCTTTTTTTTTTTTTTGGATGCTCAAATTAGCTCATCTTTGGTCAATGACTGCCTGTTTGAATTGTCCCCTGAGTCTTCTTGACACAACCCTAGTGGTAGTTGATAGTTTTCTTACTTTCTGAAAATATTTACAGATAAAATGATATGATGCTCTGGGATTTGCTTCAAAATGATGACACAAGAAAAAGGGGTGTAGATGAAATATGACTGGCCGTGAGTTCATAATTGTTCAAGCTGGTGCTGGCCCCACGGAGATTCATTATACTACTTTCTTACATTTGTGTATGTTTGAAGTTTACTAAATTAAAAGTTAAAGATAAAAAAATTCAGTCAGGCACCTATAGTCTTCAAGCACTTGGGAGTCTGAGGCTGGAGGATGGCTAGAGCCCAGGAATTCAAGACAAGCCTGGGCAACATAGCAAGATCCAGTCTCGAAAGGAGAAAGGAAAAAAAAAAAAAAGTTGAGTCTTGAATGCCTGGCTTTGATTGGGAGGGAGGGGGGAGAAAAAGATTTCTAAGTTCCCAAGGCTTCCCTTGACTTATCGATGAGTAGGCAGAGAGGTCTGACTACGGAGCTGTACTCTAAGTTAGAGGTCAGGAGCTCTCAGGATATACTCATTACCCCCATCATAAGGAGGGCATGCGGAAACCCTCTTGGATGGGGGAGAGAACAGAAGGTTGGAGGGTAAGGAGAGGGGAAAATGTGCGAAAAGCTTCCAGAGCGTCACGAGGTGGGTACCTCTTGGCAGCTTTGCTGGTGGGCACAGGGTTGGGTAAAAGGGGTTCCTTCACTACCAGTTTGTCTTACCATCGTCTTCCATTCTTCGGCCCAGATTCTAGTCTTTCAGCCCCAACAAGCCTGATTCTATTTCTTGTGGTCAAGGGGATCTTGCTTTCCAGACAGGACAGGAAGGAGCACTAGGCTGGAAATCCCGAGGCCAGAAGACGAAGCCTATCAGTGATTCAAAATGACACTGGGTATTGGGTCTCAGTCTCATCATCCATGAAATGAAAGGTCACCCTGCAAGCCTGAAGCCCCTGCAGTGTCCCAAGCATCCAAATGCAACACTCAAGAAACCCTGAACTCCAACAGCCTGTCCTGCAGGCCTCCGTTCCTTTTCACTGAACGTCTTTTTCCACCATTACACATCGCATCGCCTCCTAAAGAAAAGCGCGGCTGCTATCACTTTTTGCAGATAATTGGAGAGGCGGTGCCCAGCATAAGATGACCCCAAAGTTGACAGCACTTTCAGGCTTTGTGAATTAGGCGCGTCACCGACCTGTACGATTTCTCCTCTCTGCCCTTGCTCGCCTGCAAATCCTGACCCCCGTCCACACTGCGGAGAAATCTCCTAAGAGACTGCTGCCAGCGTCGCCTCTGCGCCCAGGAGGCGTGGAGCAAAGGACTCGGGAGCTGAGCGCGCTGCGGCCCCGCTCCCAGCGCACAGCCCAGAGGGAGGGGCCGGCGGGGGCCGGGCAGCGGCAGACTCGGAGCGCCGGGCTCACAGCGTCTCAGTCTGCTGCCGAGACCAGCCCCGGCTGGCGAGAACGGCGGCCAGTGCGAGCCAGAGCCCGGGCCTCAGAGCGGGTAGGCGGAGGGCCGGAGAGAGCGGCGCACTGCAACGGCGGGCCGCGCTCGGGGGCCCCACCGTGTGCGCGTCCTCCCATCTTATCCTGGTAAGTGCGGGCGGCTGCGCCCCGCCTGCCGCTGTAGCCGCGGTGGTCGTGGTGCCCGGATCCCGGTTGCGGGCATCCCGTTGCTGCGCTACAGGCTCACAGGTGGCTCTGCCGTGGATGTGGGCGCCCCAGGCCCCGCTAGGAGTTAGCCAACTCTCTCTGCTCCGGGGCGCGGATTTGGAGCCCCCGCCTCTCCTACCCTTGCTTTTGGCTTGGGATGGGGAGCGCGGGGAAAGGCCTGCCGTCGGGGGAGACGCGTAGAAGGGCGCTTCCCTTCCCCAGTCACCTACAAACGACTCAGGGGGATGCGGGCCAACCGCCTCACCAAATGCAACCCAGCTATAAGCTCACAGGTGGGGCGTCTGTCCTTTAGATTTCTTTTCCTATTAATCCACCAGGGAAAGTTTGGGACCACGCAAGGCAAAGTTGGGGCGCGGCTGGGGGCGAACTTCTCCTACGGAGGCAGCTCTCGGGGAGACGAGCGGTGGGTTTGCAGGGGAAGCGAGGATCCGGCTGGAGATGACTTTGCGGCCGGGGAGTTGAATCTGTCCCTTGATGGTCGCCCGGGCCGGGCATTTAGACAATCCCCCGAGTGCTGTGAATCGCTTAATCGTTCCTGCTAAGCGTTGACGTTCGCAGCCAGCTGGGAATCTCCGTGATGGGTTCGGGTTATCTCAGGAGTAGCAGCAACTCAGCTGGGTTGATTTGTGCTCTTGCTTTGCTCTGAAAACCTGAGCTCCAGCTAATCTCAGTATTTAAGTAGCGTGTGTTTAATTAGCTTATTTTACACCTGAGATTATCTCAGCGACTGCCTCCAAAATGAAATCGTTGATGTGGAAAAGAACAGTCTTTTTAAAGAAAAACTAAAAAGAGGACTCTTCAGAATATCAGCTGTCATGTCTGGCTATTTTACCCATCTCCTCCATGGGATAGAGAATGAAAACTCTGCTTTGGATATCTAACCTATTAAAGTCAGTGCTGGGGCTATTTTGGGCAGATTTTGTGGACAGAGGTATTGCTACAACTTGCGTATTGTTTATGAAATACACATGTGGTCTCTCGAAATAACCTTGTTATTTCACTGCATTGGGAGTTGTTTGACTTACTAAGCTGCCTATTTTAAATATGACTAAAGGCTGTTTTTTAAAAAAAGCTTTAGCTGCAAACAATGTCTAGTTTAGGGAAGACAGCTTGTGCATATCACCAGAATATTTTTTTGTAAACTTAAATTTGTAAAGGACTACTTTCCCACATCTGATAAAGGAGAGGCTTTTTATGAAAAATAAGATCTGATATCACTGTGTGTGCAGAAAAAATAAAACTAAATTAAAGAAACACTTTCCAAATGATAGCTTAAATCAGAAAAATTTGCCTACAATTGAGAATTATATAATTGGACCAAAAGAAAACAATGAATAATTGTTAGTTGCCAAGTACCTAGACAGTTCTGAAAGAAGTGGGACCTACTTATAGCACTGGGAGGTTGTTACATGATTTAAGATGAGATAATCTGATAGATTTTTCACCTATAAAATTTTTATTCTTACATCTGCATTCTCTACACCTATCATTGGATTTACCAAAATATTTATTTGGGTTTATACATACATCTTCATAAGTGCCACATCCTATACTAAGTGCTACATATGTTTTTACTCATCTTAAAAACAATCCTGGGTGATAGGTACTGTAACTGTCCCCATTTCAAATGAAGAAACTGAGGCACAGAAGTAAAGTAACTTATCCAAGATCACACAGCTGCAGGATAGGACTTAATCATATCTGCAGATATCTTTTTATTAAAAAGACATGATTTTATGATGTACTTATTCTCTTTTTTATTTTTATTTAAGCATAAATGATGAAAGTTGCCTGTGAAGCATAAGAATCCCTGATTGTGAAAGTGCCCCACAAGCATCGTTAACTATAAAGTAAGGAAAAGTATGAAAGAACCATCTGGTTGAGTCTAAAGTTGGAAGATCACCATATCCACCAGAAGACCCAGGATGGATCTGCACCAAAGCACCACCATCACTTTCCTAGAGAAATGGTGTTTGGATGAGTCACTGTCTGGCTGCAGAAGACATTATCATGTCAAGAAAAAACTGAAGTTAATTCGAATCTTAGGCCTTTTCATGGGTCTGGTAGCCATTAGCACTGTCTCATTTTCAATCAGTGCCTTTTCTGAGACAGACACACAGAGCACAGGAGAGGCCAGTGTTGTAAGTGGCCCTAGGGTAGCACAGGGTTACCGTCAGAGAACTCTCTTAGATTTAAATGACAAGATTCAGGATTATACTCCACAGCCACCTATTCCTAAGGAAGGTGAGTCTGAGAATAGTACAGATCATGCCCAAGGAGACTACCCGAAAGACATCTTTTCCCTTGAGGAGAGAAGAAAAGGTGCAATCATTCTGCATGTCATTGGAATGATCTACATGTTCATAGCCTTAGCCATTGTCTGTGATGAGTTCTTCGTTCCTTCTTTGACTGTCATCACTGAAAAACTGGGCATCTCTGATGATGTGGCTGGAGCCACCTTTATGGCTGCAGGGGGGTCAGCCCCAGAACTTTTCACATCTCTCATAGGGGTATTTATTGCTCACAGCAACGTTGGCATAGGCACAATTGTAGGTTCAGCAGTATTCAACATCCTCTTTGTTATTGGCATGTGTGCTCTGTTTTCTAGAGAAATCTTAAACCTGACATGGTGGCCGCTCTTTCGAGATGTGTCTTTCTACATTGTTGACTTGATCATGCTGATCATATTTTTCCTGGATAATGTCATCATGTGGTGGGAAAGCTTGCTTCTCTTAACAGCTTATTTTTGCTATGTGGTTTTCATGAAATTCAACGTCCAAGTAGAAAAATGGGTGAAGCAAATGATAAACCGCAATAAGGTCGTCAAGGTGACAGCACCAGAAGCCCAAGCAAAGGTTGGTGGTGGTGGTTTTTTATTTAATGCTTTTCTTGACTACAGTTCTGAATTATTATGTTTTTGATATCTGCAACTTTTTTGATGTGATGGTGTTTGGGGTTCTTATGGATAGCAGATTGATTCTGCAGTTCTGTGATAGCTAGACTAACATAGCAGTGGAAAAAATAATTTTAGGGTATTCTTGCAGATGTTTACTAAGTTGCCCAGCTACTTGCTTCAGAGTAAAACACTTGTAAATATAGGTTACATAAGCCTCCCAGAGCCGATTCAGCAGTTATTTGTCTCTTATTTTCTGAAAGTGGGCATAATGATTTTGTGAACAATTTAATTTTCACAGAAAAACGCGTATGTGCCTAGAAAGTTGCAAGGCCTTTTCTTTTTTAATGAACACATGACAAAAACCAAGAAAGAACCATCTCTTTAGAGACGTCTGAGGAAGAAAGTTTGTGTCACCATAGCTGTACCTTCCAGTCAGCAGCCTAGCCCAGCAGGGCTTGTCATTATTGTTGTCATGGCTGTTTTTCTTGATTGACACAATCATGCCTTAGATCACTTGACCAGGAACTGATCAGTATCCATTGTAAAGAGAGTCATTGGCCAGCCCCACCATCTGCCTCTGCATCACAATGACCCATTTTGCACACCATAATAAACATGACTTCACTAGTTTTAGAGTAGAATTTGAGGGAGTTTTAATAACAATAGTGGCCATCCTACCACTTAGGTGGGTGGAAAGCATGTTGGTAAAGAGCTTAGAAGTAATTCCTGCAAACACGTAAATTTTTTAAGTAGTGGACAAGTGGCATCAATAAAATTGTGTGTGGTATTGTAATTTCAGTTCTGATTTATATCCCAGCAGTGGAATGTCATCTCTGAATGTGATTTTAAACAGAAAGTCAAAATACATACATAGACTTTTCATGCCAGCATCTGCGAAAATTCTCATGTATGCAAAAAACAGATGTTTCAGCAGGGGGTGAGAGATTTTGTCCAAAAAGAAAAATGATATTAATTTAGTTAAATTTACATAATTCTTTTATAGCCAATTTTGATGACCATCATTTTCATTGCAGCCATGAAATGGAAGCAAAGTGCAGGAAAAAAGACTAGTAATATTTCTACTTGTACTACATTTTTTTCTAACATTTCTCTCATATGCTTGTTTGTTAGAAACTATAGTAAAACCAAAAAATCATTTAGCAAAATATGTGGCAAACAAGCATTCAAATGTGACAACTGAGTACATCTCCTTCAGGGCATAAGATAGGACCATCATTGGAAGTTCTCCCCTACTCTAACTTAGCAGCCGAAAAGATGATCCCTCAAGTGCTCTCCTCAAGTCTGTTTGGGTGGTTTACATTGATAATCTTCAGTTTATTCCAATTAAAGTACTGAACGATTGTCAAGGAAATGCATATTTTTTAGAGACAAGGAAATGATTCAATGTCTTATACATTTCTTGGGCAGATCAATGGCAAAAAGTCTGTTTGAGAACTCAGTACTTTCTTGTTTTCTTACACCCTAGTGGAACTTCATTAACTTAGACGGAGAGTTGGCTGAACGTTATATTGGCAACATTTATGAAAAATGAACCTGCAGAGCAATACAATGGTGTATGTAGGATTGCGGGAGGATTTTGTATTCTGATTTTAGTGGGGTGGGAGATGGTTTCATGCATTTTAAAAATAGCTTTCCCAATACAGGTTTATAAACTATATTTAGTCAATTATAAACCATTCATTAAAGTAGCCCTGGAAGGATCTTTACCTACTCAATTAGGTGACTATTGTATCGTTTTTATGATTATTTTAAAGTGAGAAATTCAGGTTGTCATCCCTTAACACTTGTTATTTATATCCATAATTTTGTGCTATACTTAATATTGTGTGTTCTAAAATTTGGAATTTCTACATTTACTTAATTTAAAAAGAAGCAGATTATATTCATAACTATTTATGTTTCTGATTCTCCCCAAAATGTGTTCATTGTATTGTTTTCCATTTAGCACCAAATAGCTTTAACTGATTCCATTTAGTCATTAATGTTTCTTTTGACATTCGATAACTAATGGAAGTAGAGATTTTTTTCTAAACGAAGCTATGTCTTAATTTGTACTTCTCAAAAAAATGCCAGAGCGCAGTCACACGTTTTTAAGTGGAACGTGCATAAGGATGTGTGATTTCCTTTAGGAAATTTCACCTTGCCAATTTCACTTTTGAATTATTACTGGAATTTTTTTCAGTAATTACAGCCTTTATCATATGCCTGATTTCAGAAACTCAGGGAGGTTTGCTCCCCAAGCAATGAACATAAGGTGTCATCTCCGAATGTGATTTTAATGTAATTAAAATCTTTTGGGATGAATCCTTGAGTGTGGTCATCTAGTCCCCTGGGCTGCAGAGTTGAATTCTGACTGTGTAGCTTACCTTTCTTACAGAAATTAATGCTTCTGACATCACCAAAACATTTAGGAAAAAAAGACTTTAAGTCAAATGCGGCCTTCGATGGAGTTTCATAGAGAGAAATGTGCTGTACAAGAATTTAGGAAGCAAAATACTCAGCATGTTTTCATGCAAAGCCACTTCATTGTCCTATTTGCAAAATTATGGGGCATGGGAGTTTGGGAAGGTAGAGGAAACACGTTTTAGATATTCTTATACAAATCATCAAATGGTTCTTGCTAAAAAGTCAACTCTGCTGGGCTCTAGGCAGTGAATATCTTTGAAACTACTTGCTTCATAGACAAATAGAAAATCTTAATTTGGTTCCATTGTTGATGATGTACATCATAGGGTAACTGTGAAGCATGGAAAAATGTGAACTGGCATTTTTTTTTCATAGTTAAAGCAACAGTTTCTCATCTCATTTAATTTCTCTACCTTGTGTGTGGTTCTTATTTTTATTATTGTTATTTCTTTTAGTGATGCTACTACCCTTTTTGAAAAGTTGTATACTGTCATGATGCAGTGACGAGACCCTGGGGCTTTTACTCAAAAAGGAAAGAGTTTTTAGCCTGGTTGTGTAATAAGCCCAGTGATTTCAGAGAAGTCATTTTAACTCTCTGAGCCTCAGTTTCCTAACTGGAAAATGAGAATAATGATACCTACTTCATAAGATTGGTAAAATTATTAAATGAAGAAATGAATGTTAAGCATCTAGCGTGATCCTTGGAAAATGTGGGTTGTTTTCAATAAATGTTAATGCCTTCCTTTTATGTTTCCTTCTTAAATGAAAAATGAATTGGAATAAATTATTTTAGATTCAAGAGTTATAAAACATTCTTTGAAGACTGAATTTGCTCCAGTGAATCCTCGAGTTAAGCAGGCCGTTTTACCCCTTAGGGTTATATAATATTTGCTGTATTATAATATTCATAAGCTCTAGTTCACATACAGTGAATATAAATGGGCCAAACATTAACTCCAAGGAAACTTCAAAATGTCTTTATTTTGTCCTGGAATTTTATTATTTAGAATTTTACTTAAAGTGAGTATAGCTCATTGGTTGGGACTTAGCAATATCTGTGCTGAGCAGAGACTTTTGCTTTCGGGGTATTTTTGTTTATAGATGCTTGGGGCTCTCTTCTTAAAACGTTTCTATAGTTGGTTAGGAATAAGTTTGAATCCTGCAGGATGTGAAGCAGTTAAGTTTCAGGTCATTCGGCTCATTTTGCTGTGCTCCTGGCCTGGCTGCTGGGGGCTGTTGATCTGTTATGGTGCTAGGCTGTCATTGGCCTAGAAAGCAGCTGTCCATGGTATTTAACTTCGTCTTAGACTTGGCACTGTAATCTGACAGCAAATTGGCCTGGTTCTAATGAAGGGCACGATCTAAATAAAGATGCTTAAAGCTGGATAGTTGGAGGGCCGGACTACTTAGTAATTTAGGTGTGCTTTGCTTTATTCAGTTTGTGTGTTTCTGAAAAGCTGTGAATGATTTTAGCAATTCAAACTGTGATTAATGGTCTTTGGAAACTCAGGATTAAAACAAAATTATAAATATTCTTCATAAAACGAAGTATTTCTTGTAAAGTACTAAGCCATAAATAATTGTATAAGTATACATGTGTTGCCCCAACTTTGCTTAAGACACAGAATTTATTAATTAGTAAAATTAATATACAAGCTTCAAAGTAGGTAAGATGGTCCTTATATTAAATAAAAAGATGTATTACTTGATAGATTTGGAAACTAATTCTCTGTCTCTCTTTAAAAAAGTTTAGGCATTAAAATTCTTAACTGACTGTGAAAGTAGTATGTTTATCTAGGGATATAGCTTGGTGATATTTTCCTTATTTTGTTTCCCTCTACTTATCCTAAAAGTAAACCCATCAGTTACTGCTTGTGATTCAGGGAGCGAACAAGGCATTTTGAGAGACCCCAAAGGGCCCAGTGGATTTTGATACACACAGTTCAAATTGCCCTTGGCTATTTCCCTTGCTATTCTGGTTTCCCCTGGCAACAGATGACCTAAACTTTGTGAAGCCTAGAGAACTGGAGTCCCCATATGTCTCCCTTCCACCTTCCCTTTCTATTCCTCTCTTTGTCCTTCTTTTCCTCTCCTCTTCCCTTCTTTTCATTTGTCCCCCTCCCCTCTTTTTTGGTAGAAGTAGATAATTTGCATCTTAACTTTAGCAAAGAGTGGGATCGTATGTTAAGCTGCTGTATGGCTACTGGGGACACAAGTACATCCACAGTGTGGATTTGACAGGTTTAGTTTTTCCATTCTTTTATTTTCAACCTTTTGTTTTAGATAAGTCTCTAGTAACCAGAATATACATGCACTTTATTTAATTCAGTTTCACAAGCATTATCTTTTAACTGGAAAGTTTAGTTTGTTTATATCGACTGTGATTACTGTAACATTTGGATTCTGTTTCATCATGTTATTGTTTACTTTCTATTTGTTTTGGCCTTTCTGTTTCTTTTAGAATTTTTTCTTGCCTGTTTTTGAATTTTTTTCTAAATCTGTTTTTCCCTTTAATAGTTTGGAATGTATACA